CGGCTGTGGGGGGGGCGAACGGCCCCCCGGCGGGCGAATGGCCACGCCCCCTGGCACCCGACAACCCCAAATGGTTGGGGACCACTGGTCTAAGGAGATGACCATCCACAATAATTTTTGCCTGTCCTCTCTCAATTTCTTATATCTACTTTTAAATCCTGAGCTGGTCTTACATGTGGAGGGGATATGAGTCTCTCCCAAGAAGCAAAGACAATTTGAGAGTCCACTGTGGCTGGAAAAAGACCTATGGCAGGTCTGGTAGGGCCTGAAGCCCAGGACTAGGATATAACCTAGGAGATGACCATCCACAATAATTTTTGCCTGTCCTCTCTCAATTTCTTATATCTACTTTTAAATCCTGAGCTGGTCTTACATGTGGAGGGGATATGAGTCTCTCCCAAGAAGCAAAGACAATTTGAGAGTCCACTGTGGCTGGAAAAAGACCTATGGCAGGTCTGGTAGGGCCTGAAGCCCAGGACTAGGATATAACCTGTTACTTGACGTGGTTGAGACTTAAGAGAAAACGAAGGCCTAAATAAAGCAAACAAAAGGAGGAATGGGGGAACATCCCCTCCCCAGAGCAGAAGTTGAGCTAAATAATAGAAAAATAATAAATGACTAGAAGACAAAAATAAGTAAGAGAAGTAGTATGCTCTATGTCTATCTAATGGACACTATGGTGTTCATTTCAAGCCGCAGTTGAGTAGGAACTGACAGCAGTTCTGCCCTCCCCTCCCAATAATTCCCTTGTATCAGAGTCTGAGGATATCTAGAGCACAAGTGAACACCCATGAACACTGTGTGAGTGGAACAAAAATCCCCCCCACTCAGAGTACATGGGCATATGCACATCCTGAAGTGAAGCCCAAGCAGGACCCTTGCACATATGCATTATGATCATGTAATTAAAAACTGTACCATATGCTACTTTTTCCACAGGACCCCTCTCTCATTCAGTGCACTGGATGGAGCTGCTAGGGAATGAATAAGTGTAATGAAGGAGTCTTGTCTCTAGAACCCTACCTCATTTGTTGAGGAAGTTAGGTATGCAGTGTTCTCTAGTGGGCTCATGTTCTTCTGCATTACCTCCTCCTCCATCTTTCCAAACTTGACCCATTTGCCCTGTCCTCTCAAACCTATTCTTGTCCAAGTCCTTTCTCTTCCCTTCATTCCCCAGCTCCTGGTCTGAATCTCAAGAAGTTGTGTTACTGAAACACAAGAATTCCAATACAGGCAGTCCCCGGGTTACTACAAGATAGTGACTGTAGGTTTGTTCTTAAGTTGAATTTGTATGTAAGTCAGAACTGGCGTCCAGATTCAGCCGCTGCTGAAACTGACTAGCTCCTCGGCGCTACTGGACCAACCCAGCAGCACCCCAGCTGCTCTACCCCAGGCGTCGGCGAGAAAAGCCTGGTCTGCTTGGGGGGGGGGGGCGCACACTAGCTGCGCCCCCCTCCCAGCATACCAGAGAGACACGGAGCAAAGCCTCGGAGGACGCGGGCAGTGGGGCAGCCCAGACGCGCCGCGGTCCCGCCGCCCGCGTCTTCCGGGGCGAGAAAAGCCCCGTTCGTAACTGCGGATCCGACATAAGCCGGATCCGCGTAAGTCGGGGACTGCCTGTACATTTTTAATAGTATGATGAATAATTGTGGTTTGAAATAAAACAAATCTTTAATAAATAATCTTCCCACTTAAAGTCAGAGTGAGTGAAAAAAATATATATTTGAAATTTATAAAAAAAACAGCCAAACAAACAAACAAACAAGGCACACTGGAAGCTTCAGAGTAAGAGGAATCTAAAAGATAAAACAGCTTTCAGGACAACACACATTTCAGCTGAAGCAATGACGACTTAGAAGATGGAGATATTTAAAAAAATTAAAATATTAAGAATCAACAGTACAACACACAGAAGTTCAAAGATAACTTCAAATCAATAAAACTGATTTGCCAAAAGATAACCCTTTACCTTAGAGTTCAGAACCCAATTCATCATGAACATTTTTGTAATGTCTCAATTTAAAATGGTGTTTTGAAATTAGAGAGACATGATCCCTACCCTGACGACAAAAACAGACCAATCAGCTGAACAAAGGAAGATGCTAGTGAAAAGCAAGCTAAATAA